GGCGGGGGAGGACGTTGTGGAGAGAGTGGTGGCACGGCCGGACGCTGAGGCTGTGCAGGGTGGGCGATCGGCAGTGGATGTTCATGTGGAGGGCTTGCAACGGGCGGTGGATGAGGCTGTGCAGGCAGGACGGCGGCGAGACGAGGGTGTGGGTGACGCACAATGTGTGGTCCGGGAGACAACGACGGGTCTAGTTGTTCCGTTCTCGGGCCTGCACTTGGCTCAGGGCCGACAATCGCAGTCTTTGACCAGAGGCTACAGCATCCACCATGGCAGCCGATCCCTCCAGTTCCATGGGGTCCTGCATCGCCGGTGTGGTCTGGGTCTACCTCCACCGGAGCACGTACGGCAGGGGATGTTACAGGGGTTTCTGGTGGCGTCGTGGAGACGGCGCCACGTACACGAGACATGCCACCCCCTCCTCCTAGACCACCTGTAGGTGATCCGTCATCGTCGCCCACAGGCAGAGGCTCTCGATCTCCACACACGCCTGAGAGGTCTAGGATTCGGGACACTACAGCCATTGTGGGGGACGTGAGTGACACAGCATTGTTCGGGAGGACAGACATAGATTTGGATTCCACCCGGCGTGTCACGGAGCACACTGCACGTCTACAGCCGGGTTTGGGACCCCGCGACGGCAGGATGACCGCAGCGAGGGAGGTGGCAGCATCAGGTTGTGAGCCTCAGCGAGGTCGCGACAGAGGAGTGTCCGCCGATAGCTTGGAGTACGCTCTAATGGCAGCGACGCGTGCCGTACATGAGCAAACTCCACGCAAGCGCGAAGTGCCTCCTCGTCCACGCCCCGTGCCCGCAGAGGGAGGAGATGCACTTGGAGAGACTTCGGGGGCAGAGGGGTTGGGGATGCCTCGTGGATCGCGCCGTGAGCAGACGGTTACAGAGGCTAGTGCGAGGGTTGTTGTGTTGAGGAAGGCAGGAGCCCCTGTCACCATCGAGGAGGATGATCCTGAGACAGATGTGGCAATGCGGGAGGAGGACGAGGACGATGAGGGCAAGGAGGAGGGAGAGGAGGAGAGCGACAGAGGTTCCGATGGTGACTACGACCACGACGAGCACGAGCCCCCACCTCCCCCACCGAAAGGCGCAGCCAGACGGCGCAGCCAGACGGCGCGCTGCGCAGACTTCTTCATCATCACGAGGGAGGAGGAGTTCGACATCCGGCACGCGAGGGGATACGGGGAGACAGAGCGGGAAGGGGAAGAAGCGTCGTTGACTGATGAGGCCAACACTCAGTTTTTCCCCTGCTCGCACTGAGGTTCGTCATGTTGTGCGGTCCTAGTTTTTTTGGTCGTCTCGTCTTGTCTTAGTGTTGTTAGGCTCTCAGTAGTTGTGTGCGTGCAGCGTGCTACAGATGTATTAGATGATGTTTCCTTTGTTTTCGGTGTGTATGATTTTGGTACCAGCATGGTGTTCGTAGAGTAGCGTTGTACCAGTAGGGTGTTCGCAGAGTAGCTACGACACGACTTGTACACTACAGTTTCGTTTCTTTTTTTTCGACATGTGGTACCACTGCCTTAGCAGTAGCCTGTAGGATACATTGTATATGTTGCATTTTTCATTTATGTTTTCAGTGAGAGGTACTTTGCGTCGTTGAGGACTTTTCATGCACAGTACATTTTCCATGTACAGTTTCAGTTTC